TCCGGGGGCAGTGGGGTGTCCCTGGGTGGGCAGTGGGGTGTCCCGGGACAGTGGGGTGTCCCTGGGGCAGTGGGGTGTCCCTGGGGGGCAGTGGGGTGTCCCGGGGCAGTGGGGTGTCCAGGACAGCGGGCTGCCCCGTCCCCGCCCGGAGCAGGTGAGAGGGGCTGGTTAAAAGCAAGCTCCGAAACCCAAAGCGTCTGAGCAGCCGCCCCAGCCCCTCGCTGCTGCTGGGCTCAGCCTCCGCCCCAGGAAATCTTCCCAGTAAAGATTGCGAGATTTGAGGTGACTGATGTTTGTTTGTTCGTTTTCAAAGTCCGAACAGCTGCAAACCTACCTAGTTGAAGAGACCGTGTCACTGGAAGAGAAAGAGCCCTTCAGGACGCTGGGGAGGCTGTTGCCAGGAGCATCTCAGGGGCACCAACTGATTTATTTTCTTATTGAATAGGCTGTTTTGGCTGCTTGGTCTGACTTTCCCAGACTGTCACTGAGATATTTAGAATCCCTGAACATACAAGTTAGTCTTATTTAGTCCCCGAGGTTTTACCTACAAACTTAAAAACTACTAAGTCGTCCTGGTATTTTACAGAGTTTACTTAACTTGTGGCTGTTCTGAGAACAGTATGTTCTCTAGGTTCTGGTGATTCTTACTTCTCCGTTTCACTCTCATGCTACAGCTAGAGCCAGAGTTTTTCAAAGCAGAAGTTCCTCAAACGATTTTGTTAGACATGGCATCAAATGCAGGCAATTTTAACGCTGTACTGCCACTTACTTGTTGACTAACTACTAAACTAGATATTGAGGTAGAGGAAAGCTCTTTCTTATGTTCCTCACAAAGCAGGCAGCAAACATGGACTACCAAGAACTAACAAGGCAGATATTCTTATTATTGTTAAAAATACATATTCCATCCTTCCATCCTGTCCCTTCCATCCCTTTTCATACTGCTTCTAGTACTTCTTTCATTGTATGTTCTGGTACTATTATATTTACCAACTTGAAGTATGTTCAAACATCCTGTCCTTAGCTGCAGATAAGATGAAAGATTATTCCCTGCTGTGCCTGCATAAAGAGTGTTCCATCAATACAAGGTATTCAGTGCTAGCTGGAGGCACATTGCAACACTTCCAGGCCCAAAGCTGTTGGGAGGTACACAGAAAATTAATTCATTCCTGACCTAGCAAACACAGCAGGATTTATGCAGTCAGCTTGCCTCTCTTTGGTCACACTTCTATCCATATTTAATTTTGGAAATGTTTCTCATTAACTCCTTGTACTAGGTCAAACAATGCAAGACTATGCAAGATTCTTAGTTTCTGTATTATTTTGCACCACCAAAAAACATCTGTGACTGGAATCTGATTGAGTTCTCCACTATAATGCTCTAGGAGCACTGATTTTAAAAAATAACAACTTCATAAGAATTCTTCTTGAGGTATACATACTAGAGGTTCTGCTGTATGCAGTTGTGATGGGGCTTTTTCTCCTATATTCGTTATAATACTATTAATAGTGAAAAAATGTTTCTGGGGAAAAGGTTTCTGGTGTAAAACACTTTGTTAAAATGATACCAAAATGAACAGGTAGAATCAGAACTTTTCAATCATTGAACTGTGAACCCAAATTCAGAAAAAAAAAAAAATAAAGTGTAGTGAAACTGAAAAGGCTGGATTTCATGAAATAGCAAAAATATTCAGACCAGCAGAGGAGTGGGTTGTCTGAGGAAGGTGGACATTGACATTAGTTTGCATGAACATTTAGGATGGTCATCAGGGACACTTCAAAGCAGACCAAGAATCAGTAGATCCACCAATGAAGGTGATGCTAAGGAAAATGTTACCAAAACATCCTCCAGATCAGACCTATGCAGGGGAATTTACTTTTTTTTTAAAAAAAATCTATTCAAAGATTCAGATGTATTTTGCCTCATAAAGCTCTAAGATAGAATAAGCAGTCATAATTAGCAGAAGGAGGGGTCTATCACTAGTGCCATCTTTGAAAATGGATTGCAGTGGAGTGATGATCATGGTACACTTTTCTGCAACTGAGAAGTTCAGATAAGACTACTTCTTTGCAAATTAAGGGAATGGACTTGAGGACAGCATTTGGTGTATAGCATTTCTCCAAAGTGAAAATGCTAAATAAGGTATCACTGAGAAGTCCTTTTTCCATCAAGTGGTGGCTTCTGCTTGTTTTATTTGATAAACATTATATAGCCAAGGAAGGGAGTGCAGTGCCTATGCTAAATAATTCAATCCTTTTGAGTTACACTTAGAAGAAAATCAGAGTGAGAGCATTCTTTTAGGGAGGGATGGGATGGAAGTTGCCTGAGATGCTGTCCAGTGGTTTTGTTCCAGCTTTCAAGATCACTTGTCTTTCTCAGTTTATTGAAAGTATTGAAAACTTTCCCTTTTCACATATATCATCTCCTTGGGGCGTGAGGCCTTAGCTTTTTTATTTGGATCAAGAGACAAGCCTGGAACCCATCAAACAGATTCCTTTCAGATGAGGCAAAACTTCAACTAGCTGGGTACAGTGCCTGACAGCAGTTAGTTTGAAATTGTCTTTTCAAACATTGCCTTGTGTGGTCACCAGGTCCTCCACAACAACTGACTTGAACTGCAAAAATCAGGGCAATACTTGCCCTGATTATTTTAGGGAAAGTGCCAATGACAAGCAAACGTAGTTGTTAGGTTTTTTTAAGGCAATTATAGAATCCAGTAATCTCATATTTTACCTGTGCCTGGTAAGAGAAGAGACTATAGTCATACTGTGTCTCTAAGACAACCACAAGCATATTTAGGGCAAAACTGTCGTTTATAGCAGCCATCATGTTTTTTGGGTTTGGCTACCATATGTATTCATCATGTATCTTTCTCCTCTGAAACTAAGCAGGGCAAATCAAAACAGAGTTTCAAAGCACTTTTTGTAATTTTTTCATACCATTTCTACTCTAGGCCTTGTTGCACAAGGTAACTTTGATGAAGACATTAAGATTATGATTGCATGTACAAATCTTTTAAAGATATAAGAATAAAAAATATCAAGAAATGTAATTGCAGGTAATTATTTAGATACAGTTAAAGCTGCATAAAACATGTATGCAAGACATTATTTGAGAACAAAAAAATCTTCTGTTGAGGAAGAAATATTCAAGAACACTGTCATCTGCAGGG